ATGAAAGATATTACATTTCTCAAATGTCCAACTAACTGAATTATAAAATAACCATTTAGAGCAAGGACAAGTTGAGAGAGGAGTTAAAATCCAGTTACACTAGACTGGGCTCAGTTGGGGCTGCACTGTGGTGCAGTTGGCAGCACTGCTGCTGGTTGCAGGTTTGAATCCAGGCTTTCTGTGAGATGTTTGCGTTTTCCTATGTTTGCATGGTAAGTAAGGCACAGTTCAGACTACAGGACTTTTAAAGGTGCAGTATGTATGAAGATAGTGAGAATTTTACAGTGAGGAAAATCCCAGAAGAGTCTAATGTTTCAGTCCTTTTAGAAGGAAGGTTATACTGAAACATGTTTCATGTCCAGATGGCTGCTGGATTGTCAGTTTTTCTCCTTTCAAATCAAAGGAAGGAGGGACGAAACTACTGGTTACCATCGAGTGTGGGGTGCCAAGTCTCCTGCAAGCTAATACTGCAGCGCCGACAATTGTAACTTGACGACGGTGGGCAAAAAGCTCCAGAGTTGTTTAAAGTGGTTGCAGTCACCAAATTTTACCACAGGATGTCATTTTTACTTAATTTCTACTTAATGCACCTTTAAATTGTCGGACGATTTGAAAAGAAAAAACCCAGATATGGAAAAACTTTTAAAAAATTCTCTCTCTCTCTCTCTCTCTCTCTCTCTCTCTCTATATATATATATATATATATATATATATATATATATATATATATATATATATATATATATATAATCAAAATCAAAAGATACTTTATTAATCCCAGAGGGAAATTAGAGTTTCAATATATATATATATATATATATATATATATATATATATATTGTAGAACCCTAAGAAGTTGCTATACAAATGCAGGCCATTTACCATGCATCACATTCAAAAGGGCAGCATTGTTGTTTGTCCTCAAAATTGGACCAAGACGATCCAACACGTTTGTAAGCCACAATTTATGACTGGAGAGGCCCCAACATGTCTCTCAAGTAGACCAGAAAACTCTCAACACACCACATGGTGGGAATTTCTGATAAGATTATCTTTTGAGCCATCACAGTGATCTGGAGCATCCTTATGATTTGAGAATCGGGTCAAAAATCGGAACCATCATCATGCGGTATGAACTGTAACTGGTGACTGCGAGTGGTTGTATGTCCGGCCTCTCTTTGCCTATTGTCCAGGGTGACTGCTGGAAGTAGAAGCCAGCTCCTTGCAACTCTGCTGAGAAGTAACCAGCGTAGAAAATGAGCAAGAGTGAATTCAGTTACTGGGGCTGCACGATATTAGGAAAACCTGCGGTATTCGATAACAGTGCTTAATATTGCGATATCGATATTACTCGTGATAAATGAACAAATACTAAAGTATACAGTGTTGATGTCGTCTGGCGTGTGATGTCTGCTCTGGGTTCAAAGCAAACAAAAACTAATGCATGAATTCCATTACAACATAACATTTTTATTGCAAAAATATGCAGCTGCACCTGCTACTGTATTAGCAGCAAAACAACAAACTGCATGCATGCAGTTTCTCAGTGACTTTAAAACATCACCTCCACCATAAAACTTTTTCTGATGCTCCAAATACAGAAAAACATCCCTTACCAGGGGTTTTTGAGTAAATAAAAAAAAATCTGAAAATAAGTTTAAATGTTAAATAACAGTTAACATCACTTACATGCAACAGCAAATTCTCTCATTGCCACTGAGCATTTTCTCCACTTATGTGGTTATGATATAAGGATGTTGCTGTAACTGGGAAGTGAACTGTGCTGGGCCAAAGAATGTTAAGATTTTCTGAGGGAAAGAGAAAAACAATTGTCTACCTTTCATAAGAGGAACTGGCAAAAAACTACATGGAAAATATGTGAAAACGTTTGTTTTTAACCCCAAATTGAACAAGTTTACCTAGATCTTAAAAAGCAGCTCAGATGATGAAACTGCAACTATGATTCTGATAACAAGCTAACAAATTGAACTAGCTCCTCTAAGATAACCGGCTAGCAGAGCTTCTGACTGACAGTTTATGTGCAGCAGCAAATCAACTATTCTGATTAACAAGGTTATAAAAGCTCATAAATGAAAAATCACTTTGATGTGTGGGGGAACTTTTCCAGGCCCTCTTTAGCAGGGTGGGACTGGGAGGAGAGTGCTGTAGCCTTTTAGCTGGAAGCTAACCGGAGCCTGGGGCTAACATCACCACCCGGTGGAACACTAGCGACATGAAGGTGGGTTGGTTCACCGGCACGTGTCGGAGTCAGCTCAGTAAAAATGATTAACGTCACAGAGCGGACTCACGTTCACCTTTGAAAGTAGCGCTGATTCCAGAAACCTCAGCACAAAGTGCGTTCGTTGCTCTGAGCCAGCATGGCGAACAAGGGAACTGCGCCGCTAATGTTCGGGTGTTGCTTTCCATCCTAAGGGTCTACGTGGGGGGCGGGCGTATTATGTGAAAGGAACCATCTGATTGGCCGCATATCAGAAGCGTTACATTTGATTGGTCAAATAATACTTCTGCGTAAAATACAGAGCTGGTTTACAAAAAGGTGATGTATGACACGAATGGAAATGTTGAACCAAACATTTATCGCCGTTTTTGACGTGCTTTGTGATGGGCCTATCGCACGTCCTGTTATCGTGATGACCTTCGTCGCCCTCGCCCTCTCCTTGTTCTGCTCTCCCTACCTATTCCACCTTCCTCAGGATCCACTGATTTCCCTCTTTCCTATTCACTCTCTCTCTTTCTTTACATTTTTTAATCACAATTGTCAATTTTTTGCTCGTTTGAAATATATTTTTAATCATTTTCTAAATAATTTTTTATATTTTTACATGTTTTTGTTTTGTGAAGCACCTCGTGATTTTATGAGAGGCGCTATAGAAAAGATATTTTCTTCTTCTTCTTTTTCTTCTTCTTCTACATGCTTTTGCCAAAATATGGTAGACCCACGTGATTAGAAATGTCTCTGTTAATACATGTGTGTGGGAATGCAAACTTGCTGGTGGAGAAGTATAAACTAGGCTTTAGATTTTAAAGTTAGATTTCAAAGTGGTGGTGCACACCGGTGTCAGTACAGGAACTGATCGGGTGCAAGATCGGCTCGGGGTCCTTGGACTGCCGATGACGTCAAAGTAGTTGATTGGCTGAACATGAACCTTACGGAAGTTACGTAATCACGTTACGTTGTTATCACGTTACGTTGGTCCAGGCAAATTTTTCTGTTGGAAAGATGAACAACTTTTACAAAGAAATCATCATTACTTCTTTGAAAATACACTTTTAGCATACAGCTGCATGTATATTAGGGCTGAACGATTAACTGCATCTGCAATTAAATTGCGATGTGACAAAAGGAGATTTTCTAATCGCAAAGGCTGCAATTTGGCAGCGAGTGGTTAGCGCAATGCTAATATACATGGAAAAACCCATAGGAATGCTAATGCTAATATCACCGATTACATTCTCACAAATTATGAATTAGAAACGTGCCAAATGATTACATTTGGAGTCTAATAGAAAGTAAAACATCAATCAAATACGTAGACAGGTATTTTAGTAAAGCCAGAAAACTTTTAACTCCAGAGTTTTGGCTAGCAGCTGTGAGCGTAACTGAACTACGCATGGACAAGACTTCGAAAACTCTAAAACACAAAATACTTCAATAAACGGGACACACTTCTTTCCTGCAAATACAATTTCACAGGTGTTGCTAATACCTATGATCCTTCAAGGGATGTGCTCAAAGAGTTCAACATTATGAATAAAATAGTGTTTTATTTTACAAATACCATTATAGACACAAACTTACGTCGTAAGAAACATTATTTTAATAACTAAATTGTGTAATGTATTTTGTCCGAGTGGGTTTGCCGTACTTTGACATCATCGGCAGTCGAAGGACCCCGAGCCGATCTTGCAACCGAGCAGATCCTGTACCGACCATAGACTGTACCGACACTGGCCCTCTTAGAGAATGGGTCCCATGAGGTTTTGCTTTGGGTCCCCTGGGATCCCTATCCCGTTGCAGGGTTCTTGTGATTTTTATCTTGAGAGGCATTAAATTAAATAAAAAAATAATTTCTTATTCTTCTAGTAGTGTGTATTAGTTTTAGTGTGATAAACTTTAGTTTTCCCATTTTAACCAGCTCAACACTGCCACCCATTGACTTACATTGGTGCCTGCAATCTCCTTAAAATGTGAACTCTATTTGAGATTTAATAACAGATTTAGATAAATAATCATGATTATAATTAATTGCATGACTGAAAATATCTATTATGTTGGCTTTTTTTAAAGAACGTGGCAGCTTAATAATGACGGTAGTCATCTAAAACAACTGAGACAAAATTACAGTTGGTAGAGAAATGTGAGTTTTAGAAATTTTTTATCATAAAACAAATCAAATATGTTTCTTTTTCGAGGTTAAAGTCAATATGAGTTCATTTTTCACCCTGGCAGTATGAAAAAGATGAATATGACGTTTAATCTCGGACTTTAGCTGATAAAATTCCCCGCACGCATCTTGACTGACAGAGAAAACAATAAGCGGAGCTCCAGGGGGAGAGCCCCACCGGAAGAGCCGATCCGGGGCTTGACTCCTGCCAGCGGGCGTTGATGTGTCAGGAAGAAGCGGCGCGGCTAGTCGCGAACTGGGACAAACCGAATAAAACTGACTTTGAGCCCCCCCAACACCTGAAGGTGATGAATTAGTTTAGGTTGGTGGTGTTTTGGTCTGACCAACGCGCCCGCGGAAGAACAAGAATCGTCTGGAAACTCCTCAGGAAGTTGTAGCAGATCGTGGCTCCGCGCGCTTCTTTCTCCAGATGTTAGGAAAATCCTCTCAGCTCCAAATTCCGCTGCTTCCCAAACCCGATCCTTTACCAGACAAGACAAACATCTCCCCGCTGAGACCCCGAGCACACGGGGAACTCCGTCCGCTCCGAGCCCCCTTCCCGTAGAAGGATTAGAAAGTAAAGTGAGCACTTACGGAAGGAGAGCGAAAGCATCCGGCCTGCGACGTGCGGGCGGTTGGACCGCATCCTGGGAGAGTCCTGAGACCAGGGGAGGTGGAGGAGAAAGCTCGCAGCGCATGGGCTTGAAAACACACAGTCTGGTTCCTCTTGACAGTTTCTCTGTTCTTTTTTTCTTGCACAGGAAAACGGGGAGTGGGTCTGTGTGCTCAGCTAGCAGGCATCCCCCTCCTCCTGTCCGAGGCGCGGCGCAGGGACGCGCTCTGGTGGCCGGATGAAGTCAGCTGGAGGAGCAGAAGGCACCAGAGCAGCGCTGCTGCTGGCTTCAGGTGACACTGGCTGATTCACACCAAAATACTATGAAATTATTTTTAACTTGTAAAAATGTGGATGAAAGAAAAAAAGGGCCACTACTTTTAATTTAACGTGACTTTGTTTTCTTCATGACCATTTGGTAGATTCTCACCGAAGGCACCAAAACTATGAACTAACACATGTGGAGTTACGTACTTAACCAAAAAAGGTGAAATAACTGAAAACATGTTTTATATTCTATTTTCTTCAAAATAGCCACCCTTTGCCCTGATAACTGTTTTGCACACTCTTGGCATTCTGATGAGCTTCATGAGGTAGTCACCTGAAATGGTTTTCAGTCTTGAAGGAGTTCCCAGAGGTGTTAGCATTTGTTGGCCCCTTTGTAATGGTCATGGTCATGAAAAAAAACACCAATCTTGCTTTTTAATTGTTTTGTTTAAATCTGCTGATTTAACTTTGAGTTCAATGAAGGAGACAAAATAGCAGAAACAAGTAATTTGAGCTGGAGTGACTTTTAATTTTTAACTGTGGAGAAAATTGCTTATTCTTCTAATGAAAACATTAATATAGTACATTTGTTGCTTAGAAACTATCTAGATGTCAGTTGCCGAAATAAAATTATATATATATATATATATATATATATATATATATATATATATATATATATATATATATATATAAATGTCGATGGTCTAGCCCAAGCCCCCACAATGTGGGTCAAAAATTGAGGCAAACGTGGAAGTGAAATAAATTGCAGTTCCACCCTCATCCACTGGGGGCTGGTGTCAGAAGCGAGCAAATCCTCATTGACTCCCATGTTAAAAATATCAATTTCACAGCAGGAATAAAAATGTTTACAGCCTGGTACCAAAAACAGGTTTTTTGTTTAAATAATCTAGTTTACACTCATGACAACTCTTAGGGGGGTGACTTTTTTTCTCACTCTTCTGTTTAAGTGTATTAAAAGCCTAAAATTCTGTATAATTAATGAGCATCCGACCCACGTGACCGCAGAGCTAGCTCCGGGGAAAGGCCTCAGTCTGAGCCTCGGCTTCGCCTGAAACTGTTCCGTCAGTTTCAGTCTCTCAACTTAGACCATTAGTTGTGCCGTTTGTGCGTTCTTTTTTGGATATTATTTGTGCAATTGTTGGACAAAATGACTTGCTGTGGCATTAATTGCACTAATAGAGCGTCCAAGAAGTCTCCACTTCATTTTTTTCGGTAAGTAAAATTATATTCGTGTATTTTAGGTCACTGCCCAGCTGAGCTTAGAATTTAACATGTACTGTTTAACCATGAAATTTAAATGTAATAGGGTAAAACCCAGTGCATTTAACATAATGCTGCACTTTAGAAAATGGGTTGAAATATAACATGTTGGTGGAGCTGGGTTCCGACTATCGGCTTGTGGAGCTCACGGGAGACCGATGTTTTCCACCCGTTCTCCTCTCCCAGCAGCTCGGCACATCTCTGTCTGATCGCGGCTTCTGACTGCTGTGCGGGCTGCCGGCTTGTGGAGCTCTGGGATGGAAACCTTTCCACCCGGTTCTCCACAGCAGCAGCTCCGCGCATCTCAGATCGCAGCGGCGCTTGTCTGCTGTGCGGCTGCCGTCTTTCAGCAGCTTTCGGGAGACGTCTGTGTTCCACCCGGTTTTACCCAGCGGTCAGCCCGGTGTATCTCTTACTCAGAAGCTCTGGTGTTGTGCACAGTTAACTCCGGTTGTAGCTAGGTTGCTACCTCCGTTAGCTTAGGTCCCACCTCTGGGTTAGCTTCAGGTTAGCTTGTAGCTAGTTCGACCGGGTGTCGTCAGTTGATCCCAGCCTTACAGCCCCACCCTCAGCTCCACCTCTCTTCCCTTTTGTGGAATTGTCTGAGCTTGACGGAACCTGTGACACGGTCAAAATGGCGGTGGTGGCCACCTCCCATTTATCTTCAAAAATGTGTTATTGGAGTCTATGGAAACTCATTGTCCATATATGTATGTTGATGGTCTAGCCACGCCCCATTGCAACCTCCCCAGCCCCCTGCCAGTCTGGTGCTGATGCAATCACAGCACTCTGTCGGTTTTGTGGGCCAATCACAGCGCTCTATCGATCTGGTGGGCGGAACCGCCCCCACCAGTCTCACAGGAAGAGGAAGAAAAAGAAGATGGTAATTACAAAACATTTTTAAAACACATTGAAAACTGAATTAAACAATTTTTACATCATACAGACACCAGACACCGCTGTTTTTCAGCTGAGAATTAAAATACTTTGAACTCCCAAACATTCCTTTTCTGATTTTAATCATTTAAACACCGTTTGAGGAGGCTTCCTGTGTTATTAATGAAGCCGATAAGGTCATTGATTCCTTGCAAATGAGCTGGAACGTCAAAGCAACACAGGCTTGATTTTACTTTGAATGGGGAGATAAAAGCTGATTTTTTTTTATGATTTTGTAATCGCTCTGCATTTCTTTGTCACATGAGAAGCCTTCCAACAGCATTTAAAAAAAACTTTAAATGAGCATGACTTAAGTTTGAATTAGTTGTTCTGTAATCAAACTGGTAACTTTGGAACCGCTTTAGTGAGACTAAAATACACAGATTTGTGGGTGGCAGAATAATTTCAGGCTGACTTACTCTGTTTCCTCTGTAGGTGTGGTTAGTTTCTGAGCCTCCCTGAATAATTCAGTCCTCTTGCTGCTCTCTGAATGTATGTAATTAAGTTTTATGGAGGTAGAAAATACTGAAAAAATAAATGAAGTGTGTAGAACCTGCTTGTTTGTAATGAATATTTGGTACAAATGAGTCCCAAACTCCCTGGAACCTTTCATATAAGAGAACGATGGGGAGTGTTCAGGTGTGTGTCCCTGTGTGTTTGCGTGGGTGGGCGAGAAGATGATGAATTGCAGGTTTCAACATCTCCATGGATATTGTTTCCATGAACGGTGGAACCGACAAAATATAAATACCAAGGTGACAATTTACTTGATGGACTGTGCAGAATTCAGTTACGTGCACCCACTGTACACACCGCCTCGCTCCCTTGGTTCTTCTTCAATGACAAACTTTATTTTGTTCGAACGGAGGTGACAAACATACAGATTCCCTTTTCTGTTACATACGTACCGCTGGCAGTTCATATTTTATCTGCACTGGTAAATCTTCTGAAGGGCCTCACTTCTAATTTCTTATATTACCGGGCTATTGAAACATCTAAATTGTGCACAGAAATCAAAACTATAATGTCTGATTTATAAATTAAAAGATGGATAAACCTTTATGGCCTTTTTGGCCACATTTAAAGCGACAGTCTGTATTCTTTCTAGCGATAGGGGGCAGTAGATACCTAAATCGTTGCAAGCAAGCAGTATGTATGTGTTAGAGTAAGACCTTACCAACAGATGCCCATCAGGGTCAAAAAGACCCAGGGAGTGCAAACTTCAGCAAAATAACAAGAACATCAGACTCATTTTCATCACTGGCAACCAGTGAAGAGGAACATGTGTAAAACAACAACATTTATGAATAATGAAATTTATGTAATCGTTAGTTACAAATCAGTAAATGCTTTTTGTCCTCATGGGCTCCCGTAGTAGGAAACATGGCATCTAATATGGCGTCGCCCAGAGACTTAAGCCCGCTCCCATATATTTTAGACCTGATTTTTATGGTTATGTGTTACAAAGTTGGCAATATTTTTCAACAACTGGGCATCATTTCATTCATTTTCAACAACATTTTGATGGATATTTCCAGAAATGAATGGTAAAAACTACACATTGTCTCTTTAAGTGTTTCAGATTTACAGATTTCAACATCAAATATAATCTGAGTAAACACAAAATGCAGTTTTCAAATGGTAAGTCATCATTACGGACTGATTAGGTGGCTCCTGAAAATGAATAAGATGTTTAAGGAAATTTTAGTGAATCTCAATTGAAGTGAAGTGTTGATTTTGACCAGGCCACCCCTAAACATTAATGTAATTGGAGTGTGTGTGTGTGTGGGGGGGGGGGGTACCTTCACTCATTCTTCTTTATGATTGAAGCGTGTTTGAGATTCAGAGGACAAACTGACGGCTGAGCGATATTACCAAGTAGAAGGACGAATTTGGAGTTTCATTCACTTCAGAAAGTCATAGCAAAGCACTCCCAGACCATCACACTCACACCACCAAGTAAAAAAAATCATCCTCAATTCTGTCCACGGTCTGGCCATATCTGAGATCATTTACTGTCCATTTTAGATAGAAGGGTTGAAGTAGTGATTATTGATTTATGTGTGGAACAAGAAAGAAAGGAAGTACAGTTTTCTTAAAATAAATAAAATAACACAAACATCCCAGATAGCAGAGGAGTAACATATTTGAAGAAATACCTTTAAAAGAAAAAAGTGCAGTGAGGGTCAGCACATGAAAGGAAGTTTCTTCATGGTGACGCAACCAGGCGTGAACAACATGGAGGCTTTTTTTTTAACACAAACCCCATTCATCCTAACAATAGGAAAAAAGTTTCCAATTTATATAAAATGTCACAATAACATGTCAAATTGTCACTTAACTGGATGTGTGTGTGTCAAAAAAGGAAGGCATCTCTGGTGGACGAAGTTACCTCAGTCCAATTGTGTCCAGAATAAACCGAGTCTGGCAGTTTAGATGTCAGGCTTCTCACAATCGGAGTGTCTCAGCCCTCCAGTTGACAGCGTGTGGCATAATTATAAGACTTCTTACATTCTATTCAGTTTCTGTCTCCTTTTTGTTCTGCAACAATGATGCAATGACCCAGTTTCTTAGATTTGATCAATGCAGTTTCATCTTATTCTGTTGATTCTGGCTGACGCAGCTTTTCAAACGGATCGATACCAGAGTTTAAGCGATTCGCTGGGGTCTAGTCGCTGCAGAGCATCAAAGCCTTTCAGGGTGCGGTGCTTCAAACTCAGTTTGAATGCCAGACGGCGTCTGGAACGCAAGAGGGTCCACAGTCACTAAATATCAATCTGTCCACTTTTTAAACTGTTATTAGTCTGATGGTACATATGTGCAGCAGTCTGTGCAGTAGAAACAGTCATAATCTACCCAGACGGATACTCCTGAGAGTAAAATGAGTCAGTAAATCTTTTTTTAGTGTCACTGGAGAAATTCAAAGAAACTTTGGTTCAGTTTAACAGAAAGTCGAGACAGGAGATGGTTCAGCTCACCTTTAGTTCCCCTCCGTCTGCTCCAGTCCTGTCAGGTTTGATGGCTTCTGAAAGATGTAATTTTCTATTCAGAAACTCGTGATCTGGCATACTTAGTGGATCAATCAAAACCGCATAGGGGACGCCGGGGTGGATCCAGGACGAGGGGTTGTGGACACTCCACATCTCAGGCTGCCCAAATGTCCCTGCAGACAGGCGGAAAATGTTAATAAATGGTGTTGAGCCAATGTATAAACTAGGGAAATTCGATATCGGCTTTTTTACCGAAATCCGGTTTAGTCTAAATTTTTGAAATCGACATAGGCCGATACCAATACATTTTAATTATAAAAATAGAACATCATGGGGGAAATATATTTGTCAGTTACCAAATGGGAAAGTTTTCCCACTTAAAAAGATGAGATTGTAATTTTCACACACTAAAGCTGGTATTTTGGCCCATTCTTCTATGTAGATCTACTCTAGAGCTGCAATGTTTTGGGGCTACTGTTGGGCAACACAGACTTTCATCTCCCACAGCAGATTTTCAATTGGATTTAGGTCAGGAGACTGGCCTGGTCGCTTCAGAACCTTGAAACACTTTTAACGTAGCCACTCCTTCGTTGCGCGGGTGCTGTTTGTGATCATTGTCATGCTGGAAGATCCAGCCACATTTTATTTTCAGTGCTCTCACTGATGGAAGTCTTTTTGCCCAAAAGCTCTCAAACATGGCCCCATTCATTCTTTCCTTAATATGGATTGTCCTGTTCCCTTTGCAGAAAAGCAGCCCCAAAAGCATGATGTTTCCACCTCTTGCTGGTACTAGGGATCTTGGGATGCAACTCGGCATTCTTTGCCCTCCAAACATGGTGATTGACGTTTATACCAAAGAGATTTGATTTGGTCATATCATTGACCATTACCCCCATGCAGGTATGAGCGGTTTCGTCACCGTTCTCAAGATCATTTGTACCCCATGAGGTGGGATCTTGAATGGAGCTCCAGGTTGAGGGAGATTGTCAATTTTCTTGTATTTCTTGCATTTTCTAATAATTGTTCCAACAACTGAACTCTTCTCACCAAGCGGCTTGCCTGTTGTAGATCGGCTCATCCAAGTCTTGTGCAGGAGCACAACCCTGTCCCTGGTGTCCTTGGATACCTTTCTGGTCTTGGTCATAGTGGAGGGTGGAGTCTGACTGTTTGAAGGTGTGGAAACATGTCTTTTGTACAGACAATGAGTGGAGGATAGAAGAGCTTTTTAAAGAAGTAACAAGTTTGTGAGGGCCAGCGTTGTTGGTTCTTTTTAGGTGCTAAATACTAGCCTAGCAAGCCATGCTATACATGTGAATATATAGTCAGGCCATGACCCTTTGGCATGGCTCAGTCGTGGGGCAGAATACAGTTGGCTTTCAAACTGTCTCCACATGCCTTTGGACAACGAACAACATGACATGCTCACCACTATGGATGTCAGTCAATAGGACAGGCACACATACATCATTTTTCTTAAATAAAGGACGTAAGAACCTCTATCTGCTCTTAACTGTAAGAAAAGCCTGTCTAAATAGTCCAAAGTTGATGCCAAAGCTGTTTCAGATGCATCGCCGCCATCTTAGTTGTTCTGCTCCATTGCATCATGCTGCCCACCAAACATAGAGTGCTGTGATTGGCCAATGGTGGACCTGCTGAAGCTTGGTTTATGCTTGACGCGTCCGCAAGGCTCGCACGGCTCCGCGCGGCAAAACTGCGCCATTTTAACAACCACGCCCCTCCACCGCGCCTCCGCATGGCCCACATTTTCTGCACATCGCACCTAGGAAATTTTCTAACCACGCGGACGGTCGGATGCGGAAAAACATGGCGGACTGGCAAGAGCTTGTATGGCAGAGGTTCGTAAATACAGACATTTGTATGATTCAGCTCTCAAAGATCACCGTGATCAACATGATGTTAATAATTCTTGGAGAGAAATAGCTCGCACTGTCGGAAAAGACGAGGACGCTGTTAAAAAATGCTGGAATGCCATGTTGTAAACAACAGTCATTTTTACTTCTACTATGGTGTAGTGTTCAATGCAGACAGTAGAGCTTCATGATGCCCCCTACAGTTTGGGAGAATATTGGCTCACCGCAGAGACAAGCCACATGAACCATAAATGCTGCAAGTTGTGAAGCGCGTCCCATCTGCAAGCCGCATCACCAAGCGGAAAGTAAATGCGTCAAGCATAACCCATGCTTAAGGCTACAATGAGGCGTGAGTAGACCTACCTATCTACTGTCTGTCTAGAATTCTAGTTTAGTTAAAAGCTACTTCTCTGCAATTATAAAATAAAAAAATAACGTTTTCCTTGATTTTATAACATGTTTCTCTCAGTTGAAGTTTACCAATAATGAGGAAAATTTCTGTATGAACTCTGAAGAAAACTTGGCTGCCGGAATACTTGTTTTTTGCCCTACTGTATCTTCTATCACTCATACTTAAACTTTAAACAACATCTGTGCGAAACATGTCAACTACATCGATTAAAGTTTGGCCAGCTGTACTAAACACACATATCTCAAAAAGTAAACCTCGTATTTTGACATTTTGAGCGAGAGAAGTAGCTGAAGAACTTGCTGTTCAATATGTGAATAGTATTTAAATGTTGCGTCATTATATGGGTAAAAACCGATATTAATGTTGGTAAGCCAGTAATATCGGACATCCCTGAAGCCCCAACCCTGTGAAAACCCAGACAGATACAAAGTGTTTCATTTTAAATGCTGGCTGGTTCACAAAAAAGAAGCAGGACTGAGAGAGACACACGGTAATCAGCTGTTTTCTGTCCAAGAATGGACAAATTTATTCTTCATCAAGTCTAAAATTCACAATCTGAGAACATCTTTCAACTCTCCATCTGGGCGGACACCCCAGGTTCACTCAGGCAGAGAACGTTTCTCATTTTCTCATTATTTTGACACCAAAATATATATATAAAAAAAACAGAGTGATGGATTCATTCTTGTCAAGAAATTTAACACATTTTTCTTTAATGGAACAAACTCAGATAAGGTTATTTATATTTTTCTCCTTAGTTGACCTTTAGTTTGTTTTAAATTCTAATTGTTTCCTAAGCTGTCGACAAAAGGTCACAATGCATCGTTTCCTTCATAAACTGACTCAGAATCCCCAAGGGTAAGAGGTTATTTTGGGGTTAACTACCACTATTATGGTCTAGAATAAGAAGCTTAAGTGTAGAGAAAGTCACCCACCAATGTATTGTCCTTGTGCACTCCAAAGGCGCACAGTGTGGTCTGCGGATGAACTCAGCACCACTTGATCACTGTCAACAATCTGCAGGCTAGACCAGGAGAGAGCACAAAAAGTGTGATAAAATGGTGTTATCAGCCAGAAGATTCTAGTTCAGCTGTAAGGAAAATGAGAGGTTCTTACATTTTATTTAATGAGCCATAAGGCATGGGATTCCATAGAAAATATAAAATCCACCTTACAGATTGAGTGTTATTTAAACCAGAAGATCGGATCTTTTTAATGCAGAGATTATGTAACCGTTATGTATTCACTCAGAGACAACAGAATAGAGAGAGTCAAGTTTAAAAGTTAAGAATTTTATTACTAACAATTAAACTAGACTGACTTTAAAACTAAATGTATAGTGTAACTAAAAATGGATGAGACGGTGAATGGACGATGTGTCATGTAAATCAGAACCAGCAAATCCGAAGAGGCGATTAGTTCTGACGGGAACTGAAGATGTTCGTTTGAATTAAGCTTTGGTTAGTTTCAGAAACAGCATGAGACCCCATCATGTTGCGTCTACCTGCCTTGTGGAAGTCCTCGGTAGATCAGGAATGCGGATGCCGAGGTCTAGCAGACTCTCTCTGGAAACCGAGCTGGTAGAAGAAGCCGCGGTTCCGGCCAGACCCGTCTTGAGTTACCTCCGGCACACGACACTTTTATTGGTGTCTGTTCAGACCCAGCCTGGGTCGGTGGAGCTTTTATTCTGAAAGGAGCTGTTGTTGCCGCTGGTTGTTATAGCGACTGGATTTTTCAGCTTGTCGTTGGTTCTTTAGGTTAAAGAGTTAAAGGTCGGATTGGCCACTCCAACGCTTGCTCTGGAACGCTTGAACTGGCGTTAGAGCAGACGTGGTGTAGTTTTATACCTCGGAAGTTATGGTTTATTGTTGAATGAAAATGACCAAACACCGTCAGAAGCACGCCTCCGTCAGATCTGTAAGATTCTGATTGGATCAGTTAAAAGAATGTGTTATGTCTTTTAACACTACGTGAAATGAGTCCTGTTGGAATCCTTAAAGTCACAGTACTTCTCATTTCTAAGATCATAATAAAGTAATTAATATTTTAATTTCATAGGTCGGTCACATCTTATTGTTGACTAACACTTTGATGGATTCGCTTTATTAAAATAGAGTTCTTTGATTAATTAAAAGAAAAGAGTTCATTCTTCGTTCTTCTGTCTTCATTGCTGGAACGTAAACAGTTTGGAAGCGAATGCATGACCTTGAGGCTGTTTCATGCACACTGACACTGTGTCAAAAGGAAACAGTTGTTAGAGGGTAGAAATGGCTCCTTCATCACGTTACATCAGCCTGAGGTCAGACTTTGCAATGCTTAGAAAACTTGCAAATTAAAAAACCCCAAGAGTGATATTTGGGCTCCACAGGCCTCAGTTAGCATGTTAAACCCTCCCACACACTCTCACACTCTGCAGCTGCAGAACAACGGCCCTCTGCTGCTGCTCAAGCTAAAATGATCGGCTTCATTAAGGAGGGGTGCATGTTAAGAGCCAAACTGGCTAAAAACCGAGGACAGGAAAAAATATTAGTCCACGATTAACTCGTAGTTCAATCAATCAATCAAAGATACTTTATTAATCCCAGAGGGAAATTAGAGTTATCCACTTCATCATCTGAATTGTTTCATAAGAATGTACTTTACGGATTACAAACCTGGTAATTGTGTTGGTGTGAGCTCGCCAGAAGTGTTCGGCTGGGTGAGAGTGGGAAGAAAAGAGCATCAGGGAAACTCATACACAACGTGTTTTTTCACACCACAGCAGGGCCAATTAAAACCAAACAAGAGAGGAAAATCAGAAAGTAACCTCTGGGTGATCTTTGGCTGGGGTCAAACTTCTCCATGTTGTAAATATAGATGTAACCAACCTGGTCAGCGGCGTACAGCAGCGTGCTCTCTCTGGTTTGAGCTAGTCTGGTTATCTTTTGTTGGAATTTAGACTGAAGTGAGCAAATTAAAACAGGATTTAAGTTTCGTGCACACACAAACTCAAACTACACACATGATTTAAATCAAATAAGCTTAACTCTTCTCACAAAATCAAACAATAACCAATGATCTTTCCTGTAGATAAATGTAGTAGAATCCCACATAATTACAGCTCACTCCTCACATTTCAAAATGTATTTAAAAAATCTATTTCTGTTCTTACAATTTCTTTAATAGCACTTCAGAAAATATGAATTTGGATCACATTTAAAACTATTTACCTTGTTCTAAGTACCGTATTTTCCGGACTATAAGTCGCACTTTTTTTTCAAAGTCTGGCTGGTCCTGCGACTTATATACCAAATTATGTTGGCTATACCGCGCTGCTGCCGGCCGGCTCCGACCCAGGAATGAGCTCTCTCTACCTGCTGGAAGGGTTTGAAACACCGCCATTCTCAGCTGGAGACCGTGGCGCGCTGCTGCGCATACCGCTGATGCAACAGCTGGCTGTTTATTCTGTTATTGTTACCTGTACTTGTCTTGTCTGTTTTAGTCGGGTCCTTTGCCTCTATCAGTCCATCTCTGTTGACTATAATCAACAGCTCACTGAGCCAAGGCTCTGTTCCATCTTACTTTAAAAATGCAGTAGTGACTCCTCTCTTAAAGAAACCCAACCTTGACGCCAGCTCCACCAGTAACTTTAGGGCCATTTCTAAGCTACCTTACATCAGCAAAGTACTTGAGAAGGTTGTTGAAACCCAACTCAGATCCTGCTTTTCTAAGTCAAAGATCTCTGACCCCTTCCAGTCTGGCTTTCTGAAGCAGCACTCAACTGAGACTGCTCTAGTAAGGGTGCATAATGACCTCCTGATGGCTGCTGATGCAGGGAAATGCTCTGTCGTGGTCCTGCTTGACCTCAGTGCAGCTTTTGACACTGTAGACCACAACGTTCTACTAAACAGGTTAAAGGCCCTGGCTGGGATTTCAGGTTCTGCTCTAGACTGGCTCTCTTCCTATCTCACTAACAGAACATTCACAGTGAAGTCCGAAACCTTCTCTTCAGATACTGCCTCTCTAACATGTGGGGTCCCAGTTGGACAGGCTGGCCACCCTTGCACTCTGCCTGACCCAGATCAGTAACTGGCTGTCCAGCAACTTTCTTGTCCTCAATGCTAACAAGACAGAGACCCTGATCGCTGCACCCCCGGAACTTCAGCCAAAAATCGAGCAAGAAATTGCCTCTTTTTGCCCAGCAGCCAAGGCCAACATTAGAAATCTGGGAGTTATTTTTGATCCGGTTTTAAGTTTAGACTCACACGTCAAAACCATCTTCCGCTCTTGTTTCTTTCAACTGAGAAACATTTAAAAAGTCCGTAAACTGGTTTCTACTGCAGATCTGGAAAAAATCATCCATGCCTTTGTGTCATCACGCTTAGACTATTGTAACACTCTTTTTACTGGTCTCAGCAAAACCTCCCTGTCACGCCTTCAAGCCATCCAAAATGCAGCAGCCAGACTCCTAACCAAATCCAGCAGACGAGCTCACATCACTCCAGGTTTACAGTCCCTCCACTGGCTCCCGGTAGAATATAGAATACAGTTTAAAGTTTTAGACCTGACCTATAGAGCCCTTAACAACCAGGCTCCAAGCTACCTATCTGAGCTTTTATCCCCACACACCACCTCTCGGAACCTTCGATCCACATCTGAAAACCTCCTGGCTGTTCCTCGAACCAGACTGAAAACCACAGTGGACAGGGCCTTTCAGACTATTGCACCCAGACTTTGGAACAGTCTACCTTCAAACCTCAGTCTTTCTAACACTGTAGAGGTCTTTAAAAATCATCTAAAAATTTCACCTTTTCATCCAGGCGTTCCCTCCCTAAATGTTCTAAAATATGGCTTTGTTCGGGTTCACACCTTCACTTTCTTTTTACTCCTGATTTTATTTACTATTTTATCACTGCTATTGTTTTTCTGATGTTTTTATTGGTTAGAGGAATTTGCCCTGATCTTACTCATGTTGTACAGCGCTTTGTGATTTATATCTGTGAAAGGCGCTCTATAAATAAACTTTTACTTGCTTACTTACTTTACTTACTTTTATTATTGCTTGTGTTTTTGTTTTTATGTTGTGTTTTACTTTGTATTTGTACAGCACTTTGGTTGGCTGCCATGCTGTTTTTAAATGTGCTTTATAAATAAAGTTGGTATGTATGTAGCATACAGGCTTCTGGTGCTGCCGTCTGATTTAAGAGAGGTTTTGAAGACTTTCTCAAACCTTTTCTATCAAACAGATTCTGACTGGGACTGATTAGTGGGAAACAGAAATTACCTGTTTTTAGGAGGAGAGGGGTAACTTGACCCCTGGGTCATTACTCAAAAGTAAATGGTCAGAGGAATTCAATGCAGAACGAGTTAATCTGCTTGGTTTAGAAAGGTTAGCAGGGTGAGGCTGCAGCTTGAAGAAGATTATTGGGACAACTTTTATTTATCATTTAAGATCTTTTTCATGTCCCAAAAAACTTTAGCAATAAAAGAGGGAGTCATGCCACATTTTAAAACATGTTCGTGAAAGACTTTTGTAAAGGAGTTAATTTACATCTAATTAAGGAACCGTAAAACGTAAGATTCCATAGTAAATATGATATCAATCTTACGGACCGTTGGGTTATTTTAACCAGAAGATTGGAACTTTTTATTGCAGGGATTATGTAACACTTGTATTAACTGAGAGACAAGAGAAGAGAGAGTCACCTTTAAAATGTTTAAGAAGATTTATTTCTAAACAAATTTAAACAATTTTAAACAAGACTAACTCCAACTCTAAGTGATGAATGGATCTGGTGTGAATGAGACGTGAGATGGATGGTGTATGTGTGAGTGATGTTGTAATCAGAACTCTCGTATCCGGAGAAGCAAGTCTGAGTGATGAAGTGATGTTTTGCTTTAGCTATGATCGGAGTTTGATCGGAGTTTCATAAACACATTCGACGCCATATTTGTCGCTCTACACATACCCTTGAGATGAGACCGTACAGATCCAGACTGCCAGGTCCTTGAACCCCTCTTTCGGTACCGGAGCCGATGAAACAGCATCAGCAGTACGACAGACTAGTCTTTGGATTGTCCCCAGGTAAAAAGCGACAGTTGGTTCACAGCGTCAGATGGACCCCCCTTGGGTCAGTGAGTTCAGCTTTTATTCTGAAAGGAACCGTTGCTTAGTTGGAAAAATGCAACAGATTTTATCCAGCTTGTTGGTTCTTTGCTTAAAGAGGTAATGATGGATTTCTTTGTAAAAGTTGTCCATCTTTCCAACAGAGAAACTTGCCTGGACCAACGTAACGTGATTACGTAAAGTTCATGTTCAGCCAATCAACTACTTGACGTCATCAGCAGTCGAAGGACCCCGAGCCGATCTTGCAGCCGAGCAGATCCTGTACCGACACCGGTATGGATAAAGCATTTTTGACAAGTACGAGCATGAAACGAGTAAAACGTAAATATCCGTAATCGTGCTGAAGGAAAATCCTCATTGGGTAACTGACTGTCTTCCTGTTCTGTGATTGGCCAGTCAAATAGAGCGCCCGCCCCTCCCTACACACAAAACTGCAGTGGGAGCTCACAGCTCAGTCCGCGTCCGGACACACGCACACAGACAGTAACGGATTTCTCTGTGCTTGCACTGTTCACGTTTCTTCAGTACTCCCTATGTTTTCTTCAGTTTGCTTCTTTTTAAAGTTACTTTAAAGTTATTTAAAGTAACTTTTTTCGTAACATACATGGTGCATTTGACAAGACAGAGCTGAAAACGGCTCGTGCTGCGTCACTCACTGTCTCCGCTCTGGTCGGGGTTTTTTTCCTCTCTCTCCTCTTCCTCAGAATCCACTCCCTCTTTCCTATTCACTCTCTCTCTTTCTTAACATTTTTTAATCACAAATGTCTATTTTATGCTCATTTTAAATATATTTGAATCATTTTCTAAATTATTTTTTCTATTTTACATGTTTTGTTTTTGTGAAGCGCCCTGTGATTTTTATCTTGAGAGGCGCTATAGAAAAGATCTTTTCTTCTCTCTCTCTTAATTCATGCACTTAAATGTTAATGTTCTGATTTTATTGAAAAACTTGTTCTGTAATAGTTCCTTTACTATTCTGATCAAAAACATTTAATCTCAGCTCTGAGGCTGCTCTGTAAATAGTTTTCAAATAAACAATACACATATCAACTTCTGATCAGACTTAAAATAACGTATTGTTGTAAACCACACCCACTTCCGGGTTAGGCCACGCCCACTCCAAGTACAGATACAGTTACAGATAATTTAGATGGTTGAACAGATACAGATAGTGGTGTACTCGCTCATCCCTAGTTATAGGCTATAAAAGGTTTTAATGCAACAGAATTTATTATTATGGATCATTTGTCCTCATGCAAATTATCAGTAAATGAAATGAAATGGTTTAAATAAGCTTTATCCTTGTATGCTTGTGACTTCTTCTACATCCCCCAAACAAATGGGACTTGCATTAATTACTTGCAAAAACATAAATAAAAATACTGAGCAGTGGGACACAAAATACATTAAATTGCTCTTTAATCCGCATTTTCCAAGAGACTTTTCCAGTAGAACCAAACGGGAACAATGGGAAAAAAAGAAGGAAAAACAGAGAGTATCTCACCACTTCGAAGCTGCTCATGAGTTTTCCTCCTGCCAGAACGTTCCAGAGGTTTACTCTTCCTTTAGGAGATAGAATACACAAACCAGACAAGGATTAAATACACCGATATGCTGGAATGTTAAAATTTATGAAAATTCTGACCTTTGACCCCAGATGACAGGAGAGCTGTAGTTAAAGAATGCTCCTGAAGTTTGAGGTTTTTCAGGAAAATTATGCTTGGAACACTTGTATTCAGTCCTACATTTAAAAACGGAAACATGAAGATTCCCCTCATTCAAAAAGATGTTGTTGCTTGGAAAGTTTAAACTTACCTGTTTTCTGCTCTTCAGCTTCAAGAGGACCAGCACAGCGACACTGTTCGCAACCAGAAACAACGTTCCACACAATAATCTCTCCGTCGTAGCTGCTGGTTGCGAGGAGAGATGGGGGACACGTTTCCACGCAGAGAATGTCCTCTTCATGACCGTTCATCTGAGAATAAACACACTACACAGTACACTTTTTTCTTGGCAGTGCTGAGAACTAATGGTTGCCCTGGCTTTTTACCAGACGTGTAAGCGTTGTGTAATGTCCACGAAGCATATATGCAACAATTAGCTGCTGTTATAGTCGATGGGTGTGTTCCTACCAGCCAAGAAGTGGCGTGTTTTGGATTTGGAATGTTTTTACTGCCGATTTGCATCTGAAACGCTGCTGAAGGGAAGAGACGCACTGCTGGAGTTGTGGGGTAAACTATGTTACGCGCCACTCACGCGTCCGGTGGAAATTTTCAATCTTGTTTAACATAAACTCTATTAGGCTTTGTACTCTGGGTTCAGCTCGGTCTGGACAAGGTGGTGTAATGGCATCTACGTTGGCGTTATCCGTGCGTTGTTTGTGGAGAGCCAACCATTTTTCTTTAGCCCTGCTTCCCTGTGGTCTCTTTGGTGCTGAGTCGATCATACACACCCGCCCATGGATTGGCGGCACTGCTGCTTAGTGAAAGAGTAGGAGTCGGTTTCCTTCATGTCACATTCTCCAAAATTAACGCTCATGCCTGCATTTGTTTACTGACTTGTGGCAACCTTGAATGACACCACGGACTTCTTTGCTCCATCTTAGCGATGCACACCTCACCCGTGGTCACATTCATGTTGCGTAAACACAACTTTACTGCGCAAAGGCAGGCTGTCCCCACCCAGTCTTGGCCAGGTTGACCCAAATGTAAAATCATCATATTTCTCTAAACTGAGGCCATTCAGGAAACTGTCTGCAATGCTTTTAAATGAAGTTATTATTTAAAACATTCAAACAGACACAAATAAAAAACTTTGCATTTAGAGTTCATTGAATCGGGTCCTGACATGTATGCTGCCGAGTAGAAGGCAGGAACATACGGCAGTGCCTGGCCCGGGCTCAGGGGCCTCGGGTAGACCTTGGCTTTTCTGCTGTTTCATCACAGGGGAGGGGGATGTCCAGGAGGGGGAGGACCCAACCTTACTTGGATGTCCTATATTCTGGAAGTTGTGCAAATGCAGGGATGGGAGTAGATATTCTGCTGGGGTGGGGCTGGGTTGGTGCCCTCGGACTCCGTGAGGCTCGGTGATGCTGCAGCTTTGGGCCCTAGCAAGATGGGCTGGGGTCTCCATGCCCTGGGTGGCATTTTGGCAACAGAGGTGTCTATTGGGGCCAGTGGGGGAGCTGGTTCCCTGGAGGGCTTAAGTCCAGCCAGCCATTCCTCCCCATCCCCACAATTTTTCTCCTCCTGCTTCCTCACATCATCACACAGTCATGCACATAGGACCTTGGGGGGGGGTGGACAAGTCAGGGGGTGCAGGTATGGACCCCATTTCCACATTCCTGTGGCAGCCTGCCCCCCAATTTTATTTGCACCTTAAACACTTCCACCAACGACATTCCACGCAAACACACACTTAGGGCCTTGGGAGTGAGCACATTCAACGGCATTTGGCAGGGGGATTTTTCAGCCTCATCCTGAGTGCCGGTGCCCACTTCCAATTTTAAACTGCACTTAGACACTGAGGGCTGTGGGTGCAAGTGGGGTAGTGTGGTGGCATCAGCTGGCGTAGGCAACAGAGGGCAGTAACTAAATAATTGAAAGGAAGCAGTATTTTAGTGTTTGAGTTAGACCCATGGATGTAGTTTTCTGCAAAGTAAATTTTTGTCCCCTGTACTTTTTACCGTCCAAAAACAATATTATGCTATATTAAACAGATACTGGTTGAGCACTAGGACCAAGCAGAAAACAACCGCATGTGCTGAAGCCTGTTTCCCAGTACATATTAAATATTTTTTGTATACTTACTGTAAAGACCCCCCCCCCAAAAATCAAAACTGCGTCCATGGTAAGACCTTACCAACGGATCGCCATTAGGGTCAAAAATCTCTTGAGAGATTCCAGCAAAATAACAAGCACATCCGACTCCCTTTCATCACTGGCAACAAGTGAAGATGATGTGTAGAACAACAACGTTATGAAAGGTGAAAGTTTTGTAACTGTTTGTTACAGATCAGTAAATTAATTTTGTCCTCACAACCCAGCAAACATTCGGACGTTTAATCAACGTTGAAAAGACGTCGGGCCGACACGTCCCGTCATGGTTGAAAGATAGTTCAAAAATGAAAGTTGAACCGACGTCTTTTTTGGACATGAATTACACGTAACAATTATACATGTAACTACAAATCTGAGTGGATTTTTAGGAAATGTTATTTTAAAAATATTTTAAAATTTGGACCGTCCTACGCGACCATTTTTGGCTGTGGACACCACGTTGCCGTCGGACCAATATTTGCTGGGATGCTATGTTGAACTATACGTAACTAATTGTCAAAATAACAATTATACATATAACTGTAGGCGTGTACAAATGCATCTGAATGGATTTTTAAGACATGTTTTGTCATATTTTTTTTACAAATTCGGGCCGTCCAACCGCGACCATTTTTGGACGTGGACAATACGTCGGCGTCAGACCAAGGTTTGTTGGGAAGCTACCGTAGAAGGAAACATCATGTCTAATATGACGTCGCCCAGAGACTTAGACCCGCTTAAGCCGCCAATATTTTTCAACAACTGGGCATTGTTTAATTAATTTTTGAACACATTTCAATGGATATTTCTAGAGATTAATGGTATAAACCACACATTCTCTATATTTTTCACACAGAAATATCCATAAATGAAGTCTTCTTATCATCATTTTACACACCTCAGCAAGTACTTCCAGTAAAAAAAACATTTTCTTAAACTTTTTTTTCTTTTTGGAATTATCGAGGAGTTTCAAGAGACTTTTTCAAAGGTCAGTGTCTGGCAAAGACGAATCAAAGTGGGAAGAATAGAAAAATATTCAAATTAATTTGAAGCCGTTTATTAATGTGTTTTCACTCAGCCTAATAAATGCCATCCAAGTGCATTATCACCTTATTTGATATCAAACCACCAATGAAATATTCCTCCTGCTATTGTAACAGGGATTATTTTTCTCTGTACTCAACTTGTGTGTGTTTGCTCTGAGTGATCCTCACATGGAGCCACTCACAAGCCAAATTAGGGGAAGCAGATGGAAGGTGGAGGTGTTATATTATACAGCATTGCCAAGTGGAATATTTAGCTCTGCTGGGTCATGTTTTTGAAATTTTTATGAGCTGCAACACACAACTGACCATCTGGAGGAACAGAAAAACTGACAGTGGAGCTGAAGCTCCCTAGCTAAAGGGAAGGAGAGTGATGCATATAAAACAAACCATTGATCTTTCTCCTGCAAGCCAGTAATGAAAAACAATTTCAAGCGATCCCTCTGTACATAATCAAAGGGTCACTTTTCTTCTTGGCTACAGTAATGCAATCTTTCTGTGCTGATAATGGCTGTCTTAGGGGGTAAATGTAACCGCCAGCCGTGATGAAAGAGATTTCAGCTCTCTGAAAGTCACCTCTTCCAATGAATCATAGGAAGAGAATCGGTATTCCCTCCCGTGGCTCATCCAGAGAGGACTGTGTCCTGCAGTCACAGGTAATAGAACAAATTACACAAAAAACAGCTGATAAAGAAACCGCTGTGCGCTTTGTTTTACTTCTGGAGAATGATCATAGAACTTGAAACAAATAAAAGAAATGACTCTTTAAAGCCAAATTTGCACCGGAGTTAAATTGGATTTTTATTAATCTGTTAAAGAAATCAGATTTGTTTCGATAACTGGGTTGTATTTAGTCTTCGGGGAGATAAACACAACTGTGATATTTAAAATAAGGACCAAACTGAATGAAATATGTAATTTTTTCTTGGTTTTCCTGTTTCAATCATCAGATCTGCAACTGGCTAACTTCTGGAGTCAAGTGCGGGTAATCTAGATGGGGATAGCTGACTCTGATGAAGAAATTCACTCATCCAGCCGGGACGATTGACGCTGCTGCAGCATCAGACAGCTGGTGCTGCACGAGAGGTGTGTGGAGTTTACAAGCTCCAAACGTTGGGTTTGATGTTGGTTTAACCTTCTTTGGGACGTGATGGATGTAGAAATGGTGGTAAAAAACACCGCTAATGTGGCAGACGTAGCGACAATATAAAAACAAAAGCCGTAAAAAAGGGACAGATGCCGATGCGTTATATATGGAAGTCAAAGTGTGCCACATAATCATAAAAATAGTAAAATATAAAATTTAAAAAGAGATTTATATATTTATATATATAAAAAAACTTTCAAAATATAATGAAAATTTCAAAATAACATAAAAATACGAAGTAACATCTGTTGGTCAGGCTGAAACGTTTGGGAACAACTGCTCTGTGATAAATGAATATTGTTTTTCAAATATATTTTATGTGCTGTTTTTTAGGGTTTTTATGTTTTCTGTAAAGATCGGTATGCTGAAAATCATTTAATGTTTTGCATAAAGCATGAGGTTTTGGTTAGTAATTGATTGGGAGAATAACAAATGACTGAATTAAATAGTGGGGCACCTCTGTCAGTGTGCCCCAGGGCAGCTGTGGCTACATTGTAGCTCATCATCATCAGTGTGTGAATGTGTGTGAATGGATGAATAATACACTGTAGTGTAAAGGGCTTTGGAGTCCTTACTCTGAGAGGCGCTATACAAGTGCGGATCATTTATCGTTTATAGCAGGGGTGTCAAATATGAGGCCCGCGGGCCGGATCCGGCCCGCAAGCGGGTTAAGTCCGGCCCGCGAGATGGTTGTGTAAACTTTATTTTCATACTTTACAATGTAGAGTGAAAATAAATGTATCTTTGTGAGCAAGTTTTCTCTGTAATGAGTATAAATAAAACAAAGCTGCACTCAAGGCTCACACAAGAACTTGAATCACATCCTGAAGATGGCCGCCACTCAGGATGTAACTTCTGATATTGATGTGCTGGTGGAAGCTAAAAGATGTAAAGTAAAATGAGTCAAATATACTTTAAGTGCTGCATAAAACTGATCTAGCCATGTTATCTGTAAGCTCTTTGAATC